TGCCCATAATACATGAAGATGTTATTGGGAGTGGGGTCTGGGCAAAGACAATAGAATAGAAATTAGGTAAGAATAGAAGAATTAGGTAAGAGCAGAGTAGATCCTAAGCTGTGAAATGTTAGAGTTAAGCCATTACCAGAAATTGTGATGTTTTTTTTCCTGAAGGATACCTGGTTTAGGATTGATTGCTCATGGTACCATCTGAGATATCTTCAGAGCAGAGCTTTAAAGAACAACTGTGCTACTATCAACACAGTCTGATATTCAGAATTATGGCTTAAAAATATGAACATTCAATTTCATCATCTCATTAGGCAACTGAATGTACTGGATATGCCACTAATGGTTGTTGTTCTGGACAGCACTGTGGAAAAAAAGCCCAGTTCATTCAAATAGTGCTTTTACTTTCATCATCCTGAATGAACTACAAGCTACCAGGTATAGCTACAGTGCACTAGAATTATTATTTTTTCTGTGTTCTATCACACGTCCCTCTTGTAATAAGAGATATGAAGTCATTTTTTGAATTGTCTTTAGGAGAAAAAATAAAATTGGAAAATACATTAGCATGTTAATGGACAAATGTAAAAAGCCTCAAAGCAAATTAGGCCCATTAAATTAATGTCTGCTATGTGCACTTCTGAAGGGCATATGTTCTTTTTGCTGTCACCTCCCAACTTGCAGCCTAATAATCATGCGCAGGGCATGCTTGATCTACAGACAAGCTATTTTTCTTCTACCTCTCAATATTGAATTTAGTTCTATGAGTTAAGAAAAATCCATTATTCTGTGTACTGGGGAGGAAACCTTGAAAGTACTTCCAGGCAGTGTTAAAGTCCTTCCTTGTCTGCCACACTTACCCAACAGCACCATTTGTGTGGTCCTGTTGTGCAGAGCACTGACACGGGCTGCATGTGCCACTTCCCTTGTGTGTCCCTGGAGCTCTGTCCCACGGGGCTACATCCAGCATGAGCTGCAACATGTCCACAGTGATCCGTGTGCAGCACTGAGTCTGCCGTGCAGCTACAAGCCTACTTCTTACAGCAGCCAGCTGGAGAAGTGTTCTGAACACTACTCTCTGGTAGCACATATATTAACTTGGGTTTGGGTGAAGAGATATTAGTAGATTCCCTGCTTATTTGAAGTTGTCTTCAGCCAAGTGCATAGTCACTCCCATTTAAAATAAAAGAATGAGACACTGATGTTGCATAAATAATATCACGTGAAAAGAAGAGGATGAAATTTAAGGATGAATATTTCAGAATAATCAATTTAGTGTATTTTTTCACTTGTCTTCTTTCTGCATAATGAATGGGCATTAAGAGGAGTCATATTCTTTACATATGTAAATACAGGAAACAGAAAAACATGGAATTTCAACTTGATGATCACTCTTGGGAGTGGACTCTATTACGCACAAGACAACACTAAAATTCTTTGTTCTTAATAAACTAAATATCGTACTTTTTTTGCTTCTAACTTTTTATTTCTGAAAGAAGAATTAAGACGAGTGGAAAATTAGCTACTTAAATAGGCTTTTCTTCCCACTAATAGTAGTATCTAAAAATTTATAAAAAAAAATGTAATTGCTGGTGGGTTAAATGTACATTAAAATGTTTAAACAATATTCTGTATTCCAAGTCTGTTTGCTCAACAGTTTTCCATGCATTGTTTGGTACTGAATTCCTGATGTCATACATTGCATATGGAAAACTTAGTTCCGTGAAAAGATGTCATTTTTTCTTCAAGAGCTTGTCATTAAACATAATTTGGATCACATATGCTAAGCTAGTGATAGCTTAAACCACCTACACGCTTTCCAGTTTGTCAGACCCACTCCAAAGTCTGCCGTCGTCTATCTTCCAGTACATGAGAAAAAAGAGCTACACTACATTAAAGTAAAGGATTTGAGTAACAGCATATACAGAGACTGCTTCTTCCAAAAGTGAAAGGAATCCATGATGAGAATGTTGCAAATTGATTGTTTCCCATTTTTAATTTCAGTTTTCTACAGTTTTCAGCAAATCATCCTTAACATTTACAGTGGGCCAACAAACAGTGTGTAATATAAAAAATCTTTATCTGTTAAGTTGAAAAAAAGGAATATGTTATTTTCTCTTGTCTTTGGTATTTCCAAATGCAAGATTTTAGGTTGCCTGGAAAACAGCTCTCGGTGATGAAAAAGTACTTCTTTCTGATAACATATATGATAGTAGTCTTAAGCATTATGGTAGCCTGGACGACATTGCTTTGATGAAGATAACTTTCATTTTCTTTCAGCTAAATCCTGAAACTAAAATATGCATATTATGTATGGAAATGTATGCAAAATCTGTGTCTTACTGTTTTTGTTTTGAAAATAGTAAACCTTTGATTTAAAAGTTCAAACCTCATCAGAAAGTGTTTTCAATAGATGTACTGTCAAAAAAAAAAGAAAGAAAGAAAAAGAAGTTGTCTCATGCATTGTAGCAATTAATCGGAAAAGACTGCTATTAAGTTTTATGACATTTTTCATTATTTTCTATCTTTGTGTTCTTCAACCAAAGAGAAAAAATACTTATGGGACTGATATTATTCATATTTGCTTCTCGGTCCTATGGGCCTCTCCATTCACTCATTTTGCCAAGGGACAAAGAGCTTCTGCAGAAGTTCCTGCACCCACATGAACCTACTTCAGTATGTATGTGCCATCTTCTTGTTATAAATCTGCTACCAAGAATCAGTGTTTGTGCTTATCTCCACTAAACTGTATCAAGCTGTATTAATGCAGAAAGCACAGCATCTAATCAGAAAAGAGAGCAAATATTGTCTGGACAGAATTTACTCAGATTGCTCCATGTCTTTCTTCTCCTTCATGAATGTGTGGTAGCAGTCATTCACTCCAATCCTGCTAGTTTACTGATGGCTGAGTAGAGCTCCTCTTTGGAGCTAATCTTACTGGTACGCTTCAGGAATTCACCAGCAGAATGAAGTCACCTTTGACTTCCGTTGGACCTAACAGACTGTGTGAGGACTTTAAATGTTTGTCTGTTAGTTTTTTTCATTCCTGTTTCATATGGCAGTTGATTAGGCCTGCCATTGGTCATAACTAGACTCATCTAACTGCAGGGAAGCAGGACAGAGGGCAGGATTGTGGACTGCAGCCTGTCTGTGAGCACTAGTTGCAAACTGACAGCTGTTCCATCACTGCAGTAGTGCCTCTGCAGCTTGCACCCCTACAAATCAGGGCTGAAGTATGAGGGATGTATTTAGCCTCTTTTTAGAACTGGGTAGCAGTAAGAATATCCTGACTGCTCCTTTCCTACGCCATATTCTTTCACTCAGAAAAAAAACATGGAAGTCCTGATGAGTTTGAAACACTAGAATTTTTTAGTTGAGAAAACGTGACAGATCATGCATAGTTACTATCCACATTTGGTGAGAAGAGAGTCGCCTTAACAAACTTCAGTTTTAATTTTCAAAAGCACATAGAATGTGCCAGAATTACCCTGTAGTTTTTGGGTTCCTGCCCATTGTTCTTTATGAATGCACAGCAAGAAGCAGAACATACCTGCTTTGTAGCTGGCTATTTCCCAGCTGGTAAGTGAACTGAGCATCAATAATTAATAACAATAGTGCAGATGTGGCAGTCTGAAAATAAACTTGCTTTGTTGGACCAGAAATGTCACAGTGGACTTTCACTGTGTGATTGATGAGATAATACAGATGCTCAGCTATTCAGATATTAAACAGAGGAATTGTCTCCTGTTCCAGATCCTTCTTCTCTTCAGATATGGCACTAGGGGTTACACTGGCGTAGGTGGAAGCAAATTAGATCAGATTAACATCTAAATACTGCAGTGCTTAACCAATATTCATTATTTAAACCATGCTATAATACTCTTAATGAAAGATACCATTTTTCATTAAGATGGTCATTTGTTGATTGGTCATTTGTTTTCCTGGACTAGATGATACACTTCAATTTTTCAAAAAGTGGAAAATGCCAGTATTGAACTGCCAGAATTTTTTAGGAAAATAAACTTTGGTGTGATAATACAACTATATGCTGAAGGGAGCGTATGAAATGCTGATTCCAGTGATCAGAATATTCTTTAATTTACAAAGAGTCACAGCCAGCAGCAAATTAAACAAAAACTGGTATGTTATCATCAACATGCAATATTTTATATTGCTAGTAGTAAATGTCATATAATTTTGTGGCAGTGTTAGCTTTTATTGGCTGAACAGTAACTAATACATTCTTTTTCTCTTCCTCAAGTCTAGTAGGTTGACAATGTTACACTGCTGCTCAGCACTCCCAAATGAAAGCTTTGCTGTCAGCCAACAACGTATGAGTCGTATCACTGACTCAGTAATATCCTAAAACTGTTCCCATTCTCAGCTCAAGTTGCAGAACATTTACTTTTCTCTGTACCCAAGTAGTCTAAATTGGTTATTTGTAGCACTGGAGAAATATTGGGGCGCTGCACCAAACTCAAACCTTGTGATACACTGAAGAAGCCTCTCCTGTTACAGATTTCAGATTTGCAGTTAGCTGCTATGGATTGGGATAATGGCAATAGCACCAAATGCTGGTTTCATCCATGCAATCTGAAGGCTGTTTAAAAGGCCAACAGAAACAACAAGGTATATGCCAGTAGCATATATGCCATATATGCCTTTGAGGGTATTGCAAGGGAAGTTTATCAGAGCGCTGTCTCCCTTATTAGCTCCTTCACCTCTGCTACCCCCTGAGTTGCTTCCTTGCTCCTGCTAGCTTGTCTGTTTTTGATTCCACTTTCATCTTTGCCTAATTTCAGTACAACTTGTCAGTTATTCACAGTTTCAAAAGAATGATAGCTATGTGTGACATGGGCTATGTATGAGCAAGTATAAGAAGTTTCACTAGAATTCAGCCCATGAATAAAGAAAGTGAACTGCCATCAGTGTTGTTATGTCAAGATTCAAACTGCAAAGGAATAGCAGTTTGAAAAAAAAAATCCAATAGCAGGTTTTTTTTGTTTTTTTGTTTTGTTTTGTTTTGTTTTTAATTATAACTTCATGCTATTTAGGTCTGGTCTGCAAAGAAAACAATCTTTAGAGTATCTATCATCAGAATATTGCAAGACTGCAAATTAAACAAAGGCATTCATAATGAATGCTTAATAATAAATGTTTCCAATTTAAAAAAAAAAAAAAAGTGTAGTTTCATCAGTTTTGTTCTTTGTTTGAGCCACTGCCAAGTTCACACAAAGAATATAAAGAACACGAACAATATGAAATATAACTTTTGGAAATTTCAGCTTCAAGGAAGACATGAATGGTGACTTAAAACAGGCCATAAAGCTATTATGGTGATAGATTCCAGCTGGCAGCCAGAGCAAATTACAGTATACTTGAAGAACTGTATATTTCAACTTCTATGGAAGCTTAGAACACAGATATATTCTGGATAGGCTGGATGTCTGTTGCAAATCTATAAAAGCTTCACAACCTACCTCTGTTTGATGATTGTAAAATAAAATAAATTCAAAGCCAGAGTCTCAAAGCAGAGTTTCCATTAGAAAATCTGTGTGTTTTTTTTTCATATGCATGTATCTAGGTTTATAAAGGCAAATTTATAGCAAAATAAGGAAAAGGAAGAAAGAAAACGTTGTAATATGAATTCTACTTCTACCCAATGCTCACTCTTCTTTCTCACAGTGTGAGAGACATTAGTATTTCTCTTTCTGGAGGATAAGCAAGACAGAAAAGCCTATCTTGTACTGGAGAAAGGTTCTGTGTCTTTAGTAGGCTTTGTGTTTTAGTAAGCTTTACAGGAAAATATATTTCTACAGAGTGTAATTTCTCTAGGCACTGTATAGTACCCATGTAGAACTAGCAGTGAAAACAGTGAGCCTAGGAGGTCACAACCTGCTTAGAGAAGTCCCCAGGGGAACCAGCAGAGAGAAAGCAGAGAGAAAGCAGAGGCTGCAGTCAGCGTACAAACACAGAAATCCTCCTCTGTTCTGGCTGATGAAGAAGGGAGGACCATCTGAGTGGCTGAATATGTTGTGGATGCCTTTGCTTTATAGTGCAGTGATGCACAAAGTTTCAAGCTGACTGAGACACGCCATCAGGACTTGAATATCACCGTTTCCAATTCTTAGTTAATTTTCTCCTGCTGAACTAAGATATCACTGTGCAGTGCTTAGCTTATGCAGTGTAGACTTTAAACACCAGTTATTCCTGCAAAATAATTGTAGTTCTCCCTAGGATAGAGGGGCAAAGCCCAGCAAACATTGCCTAAGCACTTCAGGGGTGTTCCTTGTAAGCTCTGGGCAGAAGGGGTCAGCAGGTTGGTCACCATGTGAAAGGTATTTCATTTGCACATTACTGCCTTAGCAGGAGACTATGAACTATGGTTCCCATGGAGTTCTGGAGAGGCAATCAGAAGGCCTGCACAGAACTCCTGGGAGCACCAAGGAAAATGTACAAAGGTATGTCAGGACAGGTCTAGCTACTTGGAAGAACAGGAACCTCCCTCCATCCTTTCCTACTTTTTTTGCTGCCGTTGGAACTAAGACTTAGTTCACACATGAAATCAAGAGAAGAGCAGTAACTGCCTGGTGTTCGCAGCAGGGAAGCCTTTCGTATCCTCCACTCCCCTTTACTTGCAGCAGCCATCCTCTGCCATGAGTTTACATAAGAGCAGGATACTACAAGTGGAAGAATAAATCAGTGTATTTTATCTTGAATTATCTCCTGTCACATGCACTATAAGTCTCTACTTAAAGTGCTTTGTTCACAGCAAGCAAAAAGGTGTTCCATCAATTAAAAGACAATTTATACGGAATGTCTGCCTTGGAAAGCCATTTTTTTCTTTTTTCAGGCCTACTCTCTTGACAGAGACAAATCTGCATGATATCACCAGTTTTTCCATACCTAAATTTTAAACTATGCCTTTCAGATGTACTCTAAATAGTACAACCAGTATCTGCCTTGTGACGTGTTTTTTTTTGCTCTTGTACCTGGAAGGCAAAACTCTTTAGGAAACCCATATTAATTGAACTGAAATTTGCTCTCTGATTGATAGATACTAGCAGAGGCAAACCGAACTAAAGGAAGGGGGAAAAAAAAGGAAAAAAAAGAAAAAAGAAACAAATAAATTTGATTCCAGATCTAGTCTGAAGAAAGAATGGGACTCCCTAGCACTTTCTATTGCCAGTCAGTGAGAGGAGACTGCATATTACAGCTCCTTTATTAAAAACAATGAGATAATACAATTGAGCATGATGGCCTCTGGGAGAAAAGAAGAGAACAAAATATAAGCCAGTCTGAAAGGATGGTGATGCAAACCTTCCTTTGATGCAATATTTAGTATCAGACCTTTCACTTTTGGCTGCTGGCTGAGAACCAGTATACACTTCATTAAGCCCCAGTGAAAAGTTACCAATAAACAACTTGCACCTGCAATTAAAAAACAAAATGAAGCATAAATTAAAATTGCGTGTGTGTAAGCTGTGGGAAAGTTGAGAGAAATAATAAATACCTCTTTTGAGTTGTATTTTTAGAGGCACAAATTGAAATTGGCCATCTCTTAGAGTCTCTCCTTATTTACTACAGTCTTTGTAATGTACTTTTTTTTCCATTTGCTCAATGGAAAATTCATAGCAATTGAATTTATTTTTCTGAGCAGATTTAAAGACAGTTCCTTCATAGATTAAAAAAAAATAAAATCAATATTGTACCTGGTCTTAAATACAAGTGATTTTTCATTTCTTATAGTCATCACAAGGTTTTGTTGTCAATATGTGTATTTATGTGAATAGATTACATAAAACTCACAAACAACCAAGAATGATCATCAAATGTTGCCACCAGCTAAAAATTCATACAACAGCTATTAATAAAGATTTATATGCTGGAAAAATCATGGATATTTAAAATGTCTTTTCAGTCTCCATGGAGACTCATCACTGCGTAAGTTACTGCACTCAAAGCTTAGATATATAAATAAAAACATAGGTACTACAGCTTCAGGGGAAGTCTGCATTTATCTGGGGCTTTCAAGTGCTTTCTGTACTATCAATCACAATGAAACAGTCTTTTAGATACAAGTATTTCTTAAAAAACAAAAGCTAATCTTTTCTTTACATTTAAACAAAGGTTTTCAAATCTGAATAGTTTTTAGATGTCTTTATTTTTTGCCATCCCACAGGAGAGGACTCGTGTTGCAGGCTCTATATAGGTACATCAAAACTGTAAGCCTTGAGCTAAACATTAATTTATTTTCCTTCCAATTCTACACTTAACTATTTCTCTCTTTCTCAGTAAAGTCATACTAGGAAAACCCAGTCAGAACTGACTGTGCTAAGAAGAGATGTCCTGACAGCAGAATATGAAATGTCCTAGGAGACAGAAGGAAACCGTGAGAGGGTTACAATAATGAAGCTCTCTTAAACTTACTGAAAGAACTGTCCCACACAGCAAGCAGGGAGGGCATATGTACATAGCAAATGATGTGAGATCCCATCTCCTTTCTGGACAGGATGGCAAAATCCTGAATAGACAGAAAGGAAGCTTTTAAAAGAGGGAACAAATAAAACAATGTGTCCTCCAAGTTTAATTCAGCCCAGGAGAAGCAAAGGTATTTCTCAAGAGTGATAGCTATGTTGGAAAGTAGATATGCTTCTAGGAGGAAAAGACTGGAAGGTGATGAGATGTCCTTTGGTGCTTTCCCTAGACTAGAAACTACAGTAGGTGCAGGGCATCAGGTCTTGCTGAGAGGCAAAGTCCTCACAGAGGGATTTGCAGGGCTGTAGGGGATATCAGAAGGACCTGAAGAAGCCAGAAAATTCCCACATTGGAGGCGGTGAGTGAGTATCTGCAGCCTGAGCACCAGTTCTTAGACTGCGAGTGGAATAGTGCAGGAGGGCTGACAGACCAAAACTACCTGGAAACTGCTGCTGGAAGCTTGTCTTTATCTGTTATTATTGCTATTGATCCTGACTCATACATCCCTTCATACTGATTTATCTCCTTTGTTTCTAGTGAAGCTCTTTAAAATCATTTCTCACTACTCTGTGGCTGAGCTATCTTCCATACCCTATTCCATGCCTATTGACATCTTCATTTTCACTGTGGTCTTCTTGAGCATCTTGAGACTGCTCTTTCAAAAATTTCATTTATGTGGTGGAAGGTTTCAAGGAAGGTGATGAAACTGGAAGGGAGCAAAGGCTTTTACTGGGAAGAGAAAGGCTGCTGTAGTCTCAGTATGCTACATAAAGCTTAAGGATGTTTGAAAAATAAATTTCAACAATTCTTGGAGAGGTTCTGTTTTCACAAAGGAGAATTCACTCTTGGACACATATTGATCAAAAGTCTATCATACAATTATCTTCCATTTCAGTCTGCTTTTATATATTCAGCTGCTGAAGTTGACTTTTCTGACAGCAGAAGTTATCTTGAGAACTGTACAGCAAAAGACACAAAAGACAAAACGAAGGTTTCAATATTGTTCTGGTATATTCATAATATAAAACTGAAGCTAATGACAGCCCTTTCTCCACAAAGTCATTTCCTGAGCATTAAAGAAAGAGTACATTTTCGAAGCACAGTCGGCTTAAAACAGCAGAAAACTGTGCTACCCAGGAAGGAGCACTGAGATGACTTGACTTGAAAATGTGCAGGTATCCCTGCTTGTCATAAAAACACAGGCATCCCTTCTACCTGAATTTGGGTGGTAACCTGTGTTCTTTCCTAAAGGAATAAGTCCAAATAATAGAGTTAATCCCATGAGTTATAGAAAAGTGATGAGAATAAAGTTTTGTGTTAAATTATTGGGTAGCTTAAGACAGTTCATATTCCCATGAGGTGTATGAAGGAAGGCAGCCAGACACTTTCTCCCATTCTTCTACATTTTATTTTCATATATAGAGAAAGCATTTGAGTTTGCTTTTATACCTTCTAGGTTATAGCAGCCTCACATGCAGCCATCTTATTCCACAGATGTGGACAGACCTTGCTACCTATGCCCACACCAAGGCAATCAGGCTGAGGAGGAACTAGGGGAGCATTTTGAAGTGTAAAGCTGTACTGCATGTGCATGTCGAATTTAAATATTACTGTAGAATCTTGAATATTGCACTGCTGCTAGTTACAGCTTATTAAATGCAAATCTAATATTCTAAAATTCTAAAATTCTAATAAATCTTCTGAATTTGATGCTGTTTGCCTTGCTGTTTTCATAGTGGAATATAGCCAGCATAGTTGAGATCATTTAGGACACCCAGTCCTTTTCTGCTTTATTGTCTCCTGTTGTATATTCCATGTTTATTTTCAGATTTAAAAAAATTGCAGATTTTTTAAGCAGGTTAGCTTGATCCTAGCCCATACAAATTTTGTGTTGAATGCAAAGTGAAGTCGAAAACTTTTCTGACTTCAGGAAAACCAACTTTTCACTTTCCATGTCTCTTTAACTGTGCTAACTAGGATATGAAACGATGTTGAAAAAAAGAAAAAAAGAAAATACTTTCCAGATTTCATTTTCTTTAAAAAAGACATCGACACTGACATTAACAATGACAATAAAAATGAAATTTTTCATACTGCAAAACCTGTGGAGGGAAATTATGATATAGGCTTATTCTTATTTAGCAGAATACTTGAATCATTAGTTCTGTGATGTATGTTCACATCCAATTCCTGTATTTTCTATGCTTTTTCACTGTGTTAGAGGGAATGTCTTGTACTGCAGTCAGCATTCTCCTAGACTTGAACTGACCTGAAAACAAGATCTTCATTTAGACCTTGAAAAAAAGGATCTTCTCCTGGTAGTAGAAGCATCAGGAAATGAATGGCATCGTGAAGCAACTATTCCAGTATTTAAATATCTTCATTTTTATTAGAGATCTTTAATATGATTAATTGTAACTCAAGGAAACATAGCTTCTTTTTTTACATGTTGAGATCTGTAAACACACACACACACAAAAGAAAGAAACAAGCAAACAAAAAGAAAACCACTGATATATTTCACATGAGACTCTTGGAGTGGAATATTCTCATAATTTCAAGTGTTTGGATTTCCTCTTAAGCATTTCTAAGGCAATGATTCACAACAGTTTTTATTAACTTCATTTTTACTGTATTGCTTTTTGAATGTATTTATTTTTTTTTATCCTGAAAAAACTGTGGTACTTTCCTAGGTATATTTAATTGAAAACTATCATTTTGTTTCATTGGTTGCTCTTCTTTTTGATGTTTTTCTCCTCTATTTTTAAGCCATGTCTAACATTGTACATGTACAAGAACTTGCCACAGAGCTGAACACCTTCATGGTATTAAAAATCAAGTTTAAAATGTTTTTTGCTTTCTCATTAGCAGATATAGCTAAGATCCATCATACAGAAATCACCAAGTCTTTCCTGATTAGGTACCTGAGAAGTAAAAATGCTTGAAATATTGCTTGTTTAATATTCAGGAATTAATTAGCATGTACAGCATTCCTTTTGATTAGCATTTTAAATTCTCCATTCATTAAAAAGCAACAACAAAAACTGAGGAAGCTAAGGGAGAAGGAAGAGAGCATCTGAAAAGAATATATACGTACCTTATTTTGTGGAGTATGTGGTTTACTTTTGAACCATACCAATGAAGCTGGGAATGTCTTTCAGTTTTGCTTAGTTTTTTGACATTGGGGAAAGAAGCAAAAGAAAGAAAATGAAGTGGAATCTTTTTTCGTAAATCAGTTAGCTAACTATTTTGTTCTATTTTTCTTATTTTTTTTCTTGGTATTTAAGTCAGGACATTTGGAGTTATAGATTATTTCTTTGAGCTTTGAATTTTTGGGAGATGAAGATATAATGAGGTAGAAAATATAACTGTAAACAAAGGTCCAAATTAAAAAATTAAATGAGAAAAAAGACTGAATAATGAGATTTCATGCTCAAGGAGGATAGGTAAGACTGGTAAGAATTATTTATTTTCCTTTTTTTTTTTTTTTTTTTTTTTTTTTGAGGGAGGAGAACAGAGATTTTATTGGGCAACCATTACGTATACCCATTTCAGCCTTTTTCCACTGGGAGAAATTCTCTGCGCTGATGGCTGACAAACAGTGCACATTTTGTGCTAGCTCACCATGACTCAGAAAAGCAGGTTTGCTCAGCCTCCAGTCCAGGACCACTTGAAAGCCAGAGCAAGCTACTGTCTTTATAAACCACAGGATCCCCTCTGCGCAGCCAACCACAAGCCAGGACTGAGCAGGCTTTCTGGAGCATCTGTGTCCTTGATGTTGTCAGTAGAACTTTAGATCTCTGCAGAACAGGGTTCAAGAATATAACCTTATCAAGCTTAAAAAAAAATCTAGACATATTCTAAGCTCAAGTGTCCTATTCACAGTAAAAATATGTCAGAATGTATGCCTTCTTACATGTACAAAACAGAGCAGATGAAAAATGAAAATAAAATATATGAGCTTCTTTATTGCTTTCTGAATTCATTGCAGTTGCTAATTCGTAGTGTTTTTTTTTTTAAACACAGTCTTCTGGAATCATGTACCTGTAACTTTGTGAATAGGTGGTAAATACAGTATAAACCAGAAACATAACCATCGAAAAGTGTTAAGCAAAGCATGTCCAGCACATGTTGCCTTAGGTACATTAAAAAAGAATGTTTTCGTATTAAAGTAACTAAAAAGAAAATCAGAGAATGTGTTGCTTTTCTTGGTAATTGAAAGGACATTACTGCTTTGTTCTTTGAATACATTAAGACTCAAAACTAGGTAATTTTTAGATCAGCATTAACTATGTGCAAGTATTTTGCCTGCACCTCACACAAACAGTATATTAGAACGTGTTATTGTTTTCTTCAAGTGTGAATGACTGTTAAAGCAGTTTTTGAAAGATATACAAAGTAGAATGCTGTTTTTCAAAGAGTCAAGAAATGAATAAAGAGTTTCAGCTTTTAAACTGCAGTGACAATGAATGAACAGCCTGTCCAGTATATGTTTTTCTGCATACGTTTCAACCTTTTATTGTTGTTGATCTTTACTGAGCTGCGACTAAAAAGAAAAAAACTGCTATGGAAGAATGCAGTCACAGGCATGAATGTGCTAACTTACAAAACATTTATAACAAGTAAAATTGCTGTCTGTGTCCTAAGAAGGAAGGTGTTAATCTTCAACTAGACAAAGTTAATTTGAATAATGGAAAGATATGAGAATGATGTCTGTAAATTATATTACTGATACTCGTATGCCATTATAAGATATAACAGGAAAAGCAGACAATGAAATTCTAGGAGCATTATGAACTGCAAGGAGAGAATAGCCTGATTGTTGACAGTTGGTCAATATGAATGATTTTTGTGATGGATTGTACACCTTATTGTAAGAATACCTATAATTATCTAGTCTGAACACAGCATACACTGAAGAAGGACCTAGAAATAAATGCTCTAATAATCATTTTCAGCCTTATCTGATCTGCCATGTCCAGCATTTAAAGACAAGCAATAGGTTCCTGTCTGTAACTAGGCATTATATCCTATCTGACCTGCAGTCGGCAACATCACTGGGATGGGCAAGTCCTATTTCTGTGGCCAAACTAAAAAAAAATGTTTCAATCAATCCAAGAGTCATCTCTTTGTTTAAAGAATAATTTTGCCCAAGTAAGAGTTGGGGAGAAAAGTCGGTGTAAAAAAAATACCTGTTTTTTTCTTGAAACTGGTGAGAGAAGAGCTGAATTGACTTTTTAGTGAAAGAGTCTGTGTGGCTTGCTAAAGAATTCAGATTGTTTTGTTACTAACTGCACTTTCATAATGGAAATAAAGAGAAGGAATTAGGCAATCTTCCTATACTCACGATTTCCGTGGTGGGGATCCTTTTTCTTATATACAGTGGGTAGTGTGTAGAGCCCATGCAACATGTAGCAGCTGGCTTTACATCCCCTTTCTACGTGAGAGTCATTGAGTCTATGTAGCTTACTATGTCACTGCTTCGCAGTGGTGTGTTCTGTCATATTGAGGCATATTCCACAGGACATTTGCATACTCTTTGGAAAATTTGATGTGATTCTTAATAAGATGCATTCCATATGTAATTTTGTGTTAGGAGAATGAATGAATGGAACTTGTACCCTGGTGTCTCTGTGAGTCTTCTTTGTTGTTATAAATTCAGAATGGAAAAAGGTATTTATAATGAAAGTTGTTAAGCAACCTGCCATGCCAATAAATATTTCAGGCTTATTTTAGGCATGTCTGACTTACACTGCCTGTCATCATAGGGAGGATATGCAAAGATATTTGCCACATTACTTTAAATGCCACAAGTAAGACTGTGGTTAGTCATTTTCTCTGAAGTGCATTCAGTGTTTGTTAACTCCAGAATAGTGGTAGTGGTGGAGATTTACCTACTGAGAGGGAAGGGAATCTCATTCCAAATTTTTACCACTAGTCCCTGAAAACCTAAGTTGTTTTCCAACCAGAATCTAAAACCTAAGCAGTCTCACAAGTCAGGTTCATTTCACAAATAAGTATTGAATTTGAAGTTAAGTCTCTTGTCACAGTCAACATAATCTTTAGTAAGTTGATGCTCAGAAGTATTTACACTGCTGAAGATGGTCCGTCTTGCTAAAGCTGTCAGTTTTAAAAGGCTCCATAAAGACAGAAGTCTATGAAATATGTCAGGCATTGCTACCTGACATAATGTAAAACAGGAAAATAGAAAATAACCTTTGAAGAGCATTATGTAGTTTAAAGAATGGCATGTGAACTTGTCTAGGATTCTAAGAAATATGAAACTTGAGTTCATTTAATTAAACCTCTTTTGATGTTTGGAATGTTTACAGGCCTTGATCCAGGACCATGAGGGACAATCTTCCTTTTCTATTTTTAAAAAACAAATGTAACATCGAAATCTCAAGAGAAAATATTTCAAAGAAAATGCTGAATATTTATGAGAAATTTTAAGATAAGTGAAATCTTTTCACTTGGAGTGCTGTGAACATAGAAACTTTTAATATATTTTCTCATAAGAAAGATTCCCTAGTGCAAGCAAATCCATCTGCTCTCTCCAGAAATTAATAAAAAATGGTAGGCTTCAGAAAGAAGGCTTTATATTGTGACCTTAAAAGTGAGTCTAAAAATCATACTACCAATTAAGCATGATGATGTGAACTACTGGTACACTACAAATATAACCCAATTTTATTTGCACAGTATAGTTTTTTACAATCCTCAATTATTTTCTTCTTTCACTAGATTCAGTTGAGTTTCAGATTATGGTTTTTTTGGCTTTCCTTTCTTTTTGCCCATTCCCCAACGTTGTCTTTCTGTGATGTCAAAGAACAGAGACCAAATGTCCCCAGAATGTGTTAGATCAGACGATGCTAGACAACTGAACCAGGCAACACTGATTGCTTCTGGGGTATGATGCTAGAATGTACTAGAATGTACCACTTAGACATCCAGATTTCCTAGGATTATCCCTAAATTAGCAATGCATGTTGCTCTATACCTGCTTCATGCATTATCCCTGCAATAATGATTCTTTCTGTTTTCATCTTCCTGTACCCTGAAGTTTAATAGTACATGATGAGAAAGATAGATTGATTTAGACACAGTTTTCTCTCTGTTGCTAATACACTGCATTAAAGGCCTTATCAGAACTGAGTGGCAATTGTAATAGGCTTCGTCCAAAAATGTTATGTAAAGTGTCAGTTCTTACAAAAACAAACAAATCTTTGGCCGTGAGGAAGAGAAAATAATGTTATATATCTAGTGGAAATTTATCTCAGGTTTGTACATTCTGTAACAGGACGTGGGATGGCTTATTTCCATAAACAGCAGCTTATTGATGTTTTTCAAGTAGTTATTGTGAAGAAAATAGCATGTAGGCCAAAATATTTTTGTGTTCACAAGTACTTTAAATGCATTCAATACAAATTCTTGTTAAGGTTTCTTTAATCAAATATTTGCAGATGATTGGTATTTCTGCATTATTGTTCTCAAGTATTTGTCTCACTTTATAAGCTTGTAAGTGAGGAGGAAACAAAGTAATGCCTTTAAGTGGTACACAAACCTTTTAAAATAAACTTTGCAAAAAAGTTGCACCTTACATCCATACAAAGCAGTTAGAAAGAGGTCAACAGTGAGCATCTTGTTTGAAGAAAACATTCAAACCTGTTTCCAGGGTAACCAGTGCCATTCTTTATAAATCTCTGCCATGCTTCCACCTGTTTTGTGAAGTTGAATGCTTTTTTTCATTTCCTGAGGTACAGTTTGAACTTTAACACACGCATGTAAACACACACACACCACATGCTGCTTTCTCTCCCCTGTAACAAAGGAGATAAAAAAGGTAAATAAAAGGTGGTTAATATTTAAACTGTTAATGCAGGTGTCTCAGTAGTGCCTTTTTAGGAGTATTCTAAGTGGTGCTGAGCAGCACTTGAACAAATTGCTCTTCCAGGAAAGACAGATTAATTTTGATGGATTCCTGGGTATCTGGACTTCAGACCACCATAGTTTCCTTTGTTCTCTGCTCTCTGCACTGGCTGAGTAGGGTACTGTGTTTTATGGAAGGTAATAAGGATGTGTGAGTAGAGGGAAATGATAGTCAATACTACTATTTAATTGCCATCTTCTCTGTTACATTAGATGGTTGCTCTGCAAGTCTGAAGTTAAAGGTAGAATAAATATTTTTAAAAGTTATCTTTGTGAGTTCCACACACCTACACACATTAAAATATTTATTGCAAATTGTTCAAAATACATTTTTTTTATTCCTTGAAAAGATTTTTTCTACAGAGACAGTGAGTCTTTAGAAGGATTGATTACAAAATGTATGGTAGGACAGCGCAGAAAATCACACAGTGGAGAGAGGCAATGAAGAAAGCCTTGAAATAAATATATTCTTTTATCTGAAATAAGCTTGGATATGATGCCTCATTAAGAATACTCTGAATGTTGGCGATATTTTATAGACCAATTAATTTAGTCCTTTATTTATTCAAATATTGACTAGAAACATAATTTAGAATTTCCTTAATAGCTCTCAGAGCAAAATAAAGGAGTTGCTGCATCTATTGCAATAGGTGATATACCAAATGTATAGGTCACCCTGGCAGAAGACTTAATAGTGACATAGGACACGATATATGATACTTCAGTAAAAATGCTGTAGATTTAGGTAGGTCTCTCTAAAAGTAATGCATTCTATTTATTTCCATGAAGCTGCAGTGGATAAAAGAGAACAATAACACTATTTGAAAGAGAAATTCTGTGATTCTGTGAAATCTCAGTTAAAAAACAATATTTTTAATGAAGTTACATCCAGTAGCATTTTCACCAGCAGTGAACAAGAGTGTGCATGCCATGCTCAAAAAAATCTTCAACAGCAGAGGTGACCCACAGTTGTTGTCCCTACTGCTGAAATGCAGCACCACCACCACAGTGTGCTCACATCCACTGCTTGGGCTCCAGAAATGCTCAGCAAGTGTTGGCGAATGTCAGCGGGTGCCATTTTTTCTGCATAGAAGAATTCAGATCCACACCTTTACCATATATGCACTTCCACCTCATTCAGACATAACAAAATGGAATGGAATATTGATTCAGCTTCCTCTGCCATACCACCAATATCCACTCTGACATGGTGGGCCAACATAAAAAATAGGAGGCATTACTTCCAGTGCAGCCCATGCAGTTCTCTACTAATCATGTAAGTCAATATTTTTAATAAAAGGAGTGCCTAATTACCTTGTTTAAGTCTTTTGTAAGCCATTCAGACTTTCTATGTATCTTTTGAAAAATTAATCCACTATCCAAAAAGTGGTCGTGTCAATTAAATAAATCATCTTAATAAAAGATGCTACTTCTGACAGACAGTGTCCCATATCTGAGAAAGAGGTAATTTACAGAATACATTTTTGTCAAGGTCTCTTCAACTATGTGTGAGTGGCTACAGCATTGTTCAAATGCTTTCAATTTAATTTGCAAAACCAAACCCATCTTAAACTTACGTTTGAGAAGGCATTATAAAAAGTATTCTGTTATCAGAAGATGAAAGCTACTTCAGTACTTGTGAACGTCAGTGCTCATGATTGCTTTGGATAGCTCTAGCAATGGCAGCTTTCAGCAGCATTTCCATCTGTAGCAGAAGATCTGCAGAGCCTCGGCACAGCTCACAGAGAAGCAGTGAAAGGAAATCATGTTTCTTTTATGAAAGTCATGAGTGAGAGTTTTTCTTCCTATCTTTTCTGGAAGATGTCATATAATAATAGGCATAAAACATGTCAGAGATCATTGCCATTGAAGATATCAGGAAATCAGAAGGCATTCTTTATCCATGGTTATATTTAGTTTTGAAGCATTTGTATTATAGCGTTTCTTAATTAAAGGATTTGATACAACAGTATCCTGTTTAGGTCTTTTCAAAAAAAAAAAGCCCTATCAATTGAGTTATTTAAAAAGTTATATATTTACCTAGATTATAGAGAAGTTGTTGAATATTTATTTCAATTTCAGTAAATTCTTACTGTAGAGGAGTTTAGGAACTTGTCAGTAAACATTTGTCTTGTTAATTGTCCTGTGCATTGCTGGATTTCTCTGCCTTTGATCTCTATTTTTAGTGTCTATATTCTATATCTCTATATATGTCTATATCTCTATTATGATATATATCTCTATATCTCTATTAGAGATATGTGTCTATATCTCTATTATTAGTGTCTATACACTAATGCATGCAGTATGGGAAATAAACAGGAAGAGTTGGAGATCTGCGTGCGGTCGCACGGCTATGATCTCATTGCGATCACGGAGACGTGGCGGGACAGCTTGCATGACTGGAATGTTGTAATGGAGGGCTATGTGCTTTTTAGGAAAGATCGGCTGGCGAGGCGGGGTGGTGGAGTTGCTCTTTATGTGAGAGAGCAGCTAGAATGTATTGAATTCCACCTGGGGGAGAGCGGTGTAGCAGTGGAGAGCTTGTGGGTGAGAATCAAGGGGCGGGCTGGTATGGCTGACACTGTTGTGGGAGTGTGCTACAGGCCCCCCAGTCAGGAGGAGGAGGTTGATGAGGCCTTCCACAAGCAATTGGAAGCAGCGTCACGATCCCAGGCACTGGTGCTTATGGGGGACTTCAATTATCCAGGTATTTGCTGGAAAAGCAATGTGGCCAGGCACGCGCGGTCCAGATGGTTCCTGCAATGTGTTGAAGACAACTTCCTGATGCAGGTGGTTGAGGAATCGACGTGGAGAGGGTACTGCTGGACCTTATTCTCACTAATAGAGAAGGGCTTGTCAGGGAAGTAAAGGTCAGGGGCAGCTTGGGTTGCAGTGACCACAAGATGGTGGAGTTCAAGATCCTGAGTGGAAGAAGTAAAGCAAAAAGTGGGATTGCTATCCTGGACTTCAGGAGAGCCAACTTTGGTCTCTTCCGGAACCTACTTGGAGCTGTCTCATGGGCTAGGGTGTTGGAAGGCAAGGGGGCCTGTGAGAGCTGGTCGGCATTTAAGCAGCTCTTCTTCCAAGCTCAGGATCGGTGCGTCCCTGTGAGGAAGAAATCGGGAAAGGGTGGCAGGAGACCTGTGTGGATGAGCAAGGAGCTCGTGTGCAAACTCAAAGGAAAGAAGAAGGCCCATGAAATGTGGAAAAAGGGTCTGACCACTTGGGAGGAATACAGGAATGTTGTCAGTGCCTGCAGGGATGCGACGAGGAAGGCTAAAGCCCACCTGGAATTAAATCTGGCAAGGGGATAAAGGATAATAAAAAAGGCTTTTTTAAGTATGTTAACAGTAAAAGGAAGACTAAGGAGAATGTGGCTCCCCTGCTAAGTGACGAGGGTGTTCTGGTAACATGGGATGCTGAGAAGGCAGAGATACTGAATGCCTTCTTTGCTTCTGTCTTCAGTGAAAAAAGCTCCCCCTTGGGAATCTGAGACCCTGGAGGTTAGTGAGAGGATCTGGGGAATGGAAGACCTCCCTTCTGTCAGGGAAGAGGTGGTCCGAGAGCACCTGGGCAACACCAATGTTCACAAATCCATGGGACCCGATGGGATGCATCCATGGGAGCTGAGGGAGCTGGCAGAGGTGATTGCTGAACTGCTTTCGGTCATCTTTGAGAGGTCTTGGAGGACGGGGGAGGTGACTGAAGACTGGAGGATAGCCAATGTCACTGCGGTCTTCAAAAAAGACAAGAAGGAAGACCCAGGCAATTAAAGGCCAGTCAGCCTCACCTCTGTCCCTGGAGAGGTGATGGAACAGCTGGTGCTGGATGTCATCTCCAGACAACTGGAAGAAGAGGAGGTTATCAGGAGTAGTCAGCACGGGTTCACCAGGGGGAGGTCGTGCTTGACCCATCTGGTAGCCTTCTATGATGTTGTCTCTGGCTGGGTGGATGGGGGGAGAGCAGTGGATGTAGTCTACCTTGACTTCAGCAAGGCTTTTGATACTGTCCCCCCATGACATCCTTATAACAAAGCTGAGGAAGTGTGGGATAGATGAGTGGACAGTGAGGTGGGTTGAGAACTGGCTGACTGGCAGAGCGCAGAGGGTCGTCGTTGGTGGTGCAGAGTCTGGTTGGAGGCCTGTAACCAGTGGTGTTCCTCAGGGGTCGGTGCTGGGTCCGGTCTTGTTCAACATCTTCATCAATGACCTTGATGAGGGGATAGTGGCCACCCTCAGCAAGTTTGCTGATGATACGAAGTTGGGAGGATTGGCTGACATGCCTGAAGGCCGTGCTGCCATTCAGCAAGACCTGGACAGGCTGGAGAGCTGGGCAGAAAAAAACCGGATGAGGTTTAACAGAAGCAAGCGTAGAATCTTGCATCTGGGGAGGAATAATTGCATGCACCGGTACAGGTTGGGGGATGAGCTGCTGGAGGGGAGCTCTGCAGAGAGGGACCTGGGTGTCCTGGTGGACGACAGGTTGGCCATGAGCCAGCAGTGTGCCCTTGTGGCCAAGAGGGCCAATGGCATCCTGGGGTGCATTAAAAAGAGCGTGGCCAGCAGGTCGAGGGAGGTGATCCTCCCCCTCTACTCTGCCCTGGTAAGGCCTCATCTGGAGTACTGCGTCCAGTTCTGGGCTCCCCAGTACAAAAAAGACAGGGATCTCTTGGAAAGAGTCCAGCGGAGGGCCACAAAGATGGTGAAGGGCCTGGAGCATCTCTGCTATGAAGAAAGGCTGAGTGAACTGGGTCTGTTCAGCCTTGAGAAAAGAAGACTGAGAGGGAACCTGATCCAGGTTTATAAATATCT